GGGGAGCCCTCCCACTCTGGCAAGAGCGACTAACCAGCCGCCTGTCAATGTGTAAGCTCTTCTTCCTGCCCTGACATCAGGGTGACATCAGCCCTGACATGCAGGGACTCAATGAGTCCCGGCAGCAGGTGCTGTCAGCAGTCACCTGGCCTTGCTGGCCGGAACAGGGGCCCCAGACTGGGTGACTCTGCGCCTGGCGTTCGCACAGGGAACCTTGCTGTGGCCACAGACTGTGTGTGGCCAGGCCTTGGCCTCAAGGGGGCAGCACTCACTGAAGTCCAGGCTCCTCAATCCCCTCCCCCAGGCCTCTACCAGCCACCCCTCCACCCCCACTCTCTGCAGGCCTTCCCGGAGGACTAGCCTGCCTCCACCTGCCCCACTGGGACCTCCTACCCACACATCTGTGCTCCAGCCCCACCAAAAGGCCCTGCCCTTGTTCACAGTCTGTGCCTTTGCACCTGCTGTTCCCGCTGCCTATATGCCCCATTCTCTACCTGGGAAACTCTTATACATCCTCCAGGACATAACTCAAATGTCACCTCCTCCATGAAGCTTTTCCTGCTCTTTCTAAACTGCCCCAAGTATTGTCAGCTCCACAGCCTTATCAAGTACAATGGGATGCTCCCCCAGCCCCACAGCACATTCTATAATCACTGGGAAAGCTTTCGAAAATACCATTCCACATTCCCCTCCACATTCTAATTCAGTGGGTCCAGGATTGTATCCAGGGCAATTCTAGGACACCCACAGCCCCACTCTCTTTATCCCAAGAACCAACCAACATGGCACTGCAAATTGCTAATCCTTCTACATTTGCAGTACGGGTTATTATTTCTAAAGAATGTTTTCTCACTAAATTCATAAAAATTCCCAAAGGGGACAAGACAGGTCATGTCATCTCCATTTTACAGATGACAAGACTGAGGCTTTGAGAGGTAAACTAACTTTACTAAGGTCATACAACATGATTGCCAGGTGCAATGTAGTTCCCTTGACCTCTGTGTCATATCCCCCACACCTAGGCAGGGGCATCCTATCTGTGTGAGCTTTGAGGGCTAGAGGCAGGTCTTTGGGTCTGGAAAGCCCATCGATGCAGTATCTAGTGCACTGACATGTCCCAAACAGTCAACCTCCCTCTCATTTTCCAGAAGTGCTCCCCAATTTCCAGCCTAAATCCCTCTTGCACCAGAATCATCCAAGTTCCTCTTGCTCTGCCCTCAGTGGAGAGGGGAGAAGCTGGTATCTCTCTTGGACATTCACCACTGGGGTTTTGAAGAACGCCTCCCCGCCAAAAAAAACCACACATGTACAGAACGGAGAGCCCAAACTCTTCAGCTGCTTATGTGAACAGAGGCCAAGAGTTCTGTCTGAGCTTACACAGTCACTGTAGCAAGTCACAGAAGCACAGGACCTGAGGCTGAAAAGTCAGAGACATGTCTCTGCTACACCATCTTCCATAATTTAAACAATTTAAAGAGGAACATCCACAAATGAGACCAGCTTTAAGAGAAGGTGACCAGACAGGTAAGGAATCCACAAGCCATCCCATACAACAGCCTGGGAACAGAAGCCCAAACAGACACAAGTCCCCTGGGAATTCCAGAAGAATTCAGAGAGAGCAGACTAGCAGACTTATCAGGGGTTACCCTGGAGACCAAGGCCCACTGAGGCCAGATTTGGATTCACATGAGAAAGAACTTTCTTCTTGAATAGGCAGTTCTCATAAAAAGATATACAAAGAGCCAGTAAGCACATGAAAAGATGGTCAACATCACTATTTACTGTGGAAATGCAAATCAAAACCACAATACCACACCCATAAGGATGGCTATTTGAAAGAAAGAAAGAGAGGAAGGAAGGGAGGGAGGGAGAGAAAGAAAAAGAAAGAGAGAAAGAAAGGAAGGAAGGAAGGAAGAAAAAGAGAGAGAGAGAGAAAGAGAAAGAAGAAAGAGAGAGGGAGGGAGGAAGGGAGGGAGGAAAGAAGGAAGAAAATACTAAGTGTTGGCTAGGCTATGAAGAAATTGGAACCCTGCACATTGCTGATAGGAATGTAGGAATGTAAGGTGCAGCCACTGTGGAAACCAGTATGGTGGTTCTTCAAAAATTAAAAATAGCATTACCATATGATGTAGCAACTACACTTCTGGGTATATACTCAAAAGAATTGAAAGCAGAGACCCAAACAGATATTTATACACCCATGTTCATAGCAGCATTATTCACAATAGTCAAAAAAAGTGGAAGCAATCCAAGTGTCCATCTATGGATGAATAGATGTAATATGGTATATATGTACAATGGAATATTATTCAGCTTTAAAAGGGGAGGAAATTCTGGCACAGGTTATAACATGGATGAATCTTGAGGATGTTATCCTAAGTAAAATAAATCGGTCACAAAAAGACAAATCCTGAATGATTCCACTTATATGAGGTACTTAGAGTAGTCAAACTCATAGAGGCAGAGAGTAAAATGGTGGTCACAGGGGCTGGAGGTAGGGGTGAATGGGAAGTTACTATTTAATGGGTATAGAGTTTCAGTTTTGCAAGATGGAAAGAGTTCTGGAGATGGATGGTGGTGATGATTGCACAACAATGTGAATGAATTTAACGCCACCAAACCATAAGCTTTAAAATGGTTAAAGTGGTAAATTATAAGTTATGTATAATTTACCACAATTTAAAATTTAAAAAAAACAAGAAAGAACTTTCTAACAAAACAGGATTTCCTAAAGCTGTTTGTAACCATCTAAATTAAGTGGTTGGGATAAAAAGTAAACAGGTGTCGGCCTGTATCCAGATCATTTCCTCTGCACAATGTGATAAATGATTTGCTCCCCTTGCAAAGGCTCCTAAGGCCATGTTAATGTTTGGCCTTCAGATAATGAGCAGCTCAAAGTGTATACAAACCAAAGACAATCATGGACAGGGCAACACAATCTAGCCTGAAGGATGTTCTGATTTATTTAAATGGTCTTTCTAAGTAAGATATAGTAGTTAGGCCTCCCTTCTTGTCCAGGTCTTAGCAGGAAATGAACTTTTGAGGAGAGGATTCAATAGAAAGTTGCCTCCTGCTCTTGATGGACAGGAGCGGGGGACAGCACAAGAAAAGATCTGAGCCTGCACTTGACATTGCCTACATCCAATTAACAAGACACCCTAAGCCTAAGCCCACTCCTCTGGCTCTCCCAGGACAGGAAAGACAAGGATCACACACTGCAAAGCCAGGGTAGAGAAAAGGCCATCACATTACAGCATCCATTCTGGGGGAGGAATGCCAGCCTACATATAAAAGTCTCCCTGAAGGGACTTCCCTGGTGGCACAGCGGTAAAGAATCCGCCTGCCAATGCAGGGGACACAGGTTGGAGCCCTGGTCCGGGAAGATCCCACATGCCACAGAGCAACTAAGTCCATGCGCCACAACTACTGAGCCTGCGCTCTAGAGCCTGCGAGCCACAACTACTGAGCCCACACACTGCAACTACTGAAGCCCACTTGCCTAGAGCCCGTGCTCCACAACAAGAGAAGCCACCACAATGAGAAGCCCGCTCACCACAACGAAGAGTAGCCCCCGCTCACCGCAACTAGAGAAAGCCTGCGCGCAGCAACGAAGACCCAACGCTGCCAAAAAAAAAAATTCTCCCTGAAGCCAGAGGTAGAAGAAAATGGCAGGAGTAGGGATGGGCCTGGACAATTTATATCATTCTATCTTTTGGGTATTTTATTATTTTTAATAATAAAATGGGTATTTTATTATTTTTTAATTGTCTGGTATTTAAGAACAACTAATTTGGTCCAATTATGCTGCTGGACTAAAAAGATCTGACCCTGAAGCAAGCCTGGAAGCTATTCTAAAGTAAGAACACTGGGAACAATGGGATGGGCTGCTACAAGGGATAGTAAGCTCTCCATCTCTGGAAGCATTCAAGCAGAGGCTGGGTAACCACTCTCTGGGAGATTCCTGCACTGGGTTTGGTCTATTACATCCTAATTTTTCATAGGAAGGAGTCAAAAGATAATGTCTCAAATTATTTTCTCAGAAAAAAAAGAAAAAAAAAAGCCATAAGTTTGTTATTCAGAGTGAAGGAGGTCACTAGCAAAAGAACTAGAAACAGAAAGTGAGCAGCTTCCTCTAGAAAGCAGGGCTGGAAATGGGAAGGGGTGGGGCAAGGGACACATTATTATAAGCCCTTCTTTGCTTCTTTGCCATGAGAATGTATTAATTTGATAAAAATTAAGTTAAAAAAAAATTCCCATGGGTTAAAAAAAAAATTAGTCACACAGTTGCTAAACAATCCATTTCTCAAAAATATTTAATCACATGGGAATGCTCACAAAATTTTATATATAAATATACACACATAAATATACTTAGAATAGGAAAGACGTATAGTAAAATGTTCTCACTGGTTTTCTCTAGGTGGTACGAATACTGGTGATAATTATTCTTTATATATTTTGTTTAGAATTTTTCACTAATCGCATTATTACAGATGATTATTACTACCTTTAACATCTTTTTTTTCACGTAAAAAGCATTAGTTAATTGTGGTAGGTTAAATATAGCTACAAATTCTTTGCGGCTCCTCCCATCAAGCTGTGGAGGAACTTCCCCCCCTTGAGTCTGGGCTGGCCTGCCGGCAGATGACAAACCTCAAGGAGAACCGCGAGCTCCAGCCACCAGCCAGAGTCAACCGTCAGATGTGGCAGTGAGGCCATCTTGGACAGTGCAGACCTGATGCAGCTGCATTCATGACTCAGGCAAAACCAGCACAAGAGCTTCCCAGCTGACTGATTTTCAAAGAATTGAGCAGATAAATGGTTGCTATTTTACCATGAGTTTGGGGGTGACTTGTTACATAGCAACAGATAATTGATACAGTAACAAAGCTGAAACATCCCTTCTGCATTTATCACATACCTGTCCAAGGGACTCCCGTGACCTCCTGGCTCCACTCACTCCATAAGCCATGCCCAAACTCCTCCTGGGCCCGAAGCTGCACCACGTGCTTCATGCCACTCCAGGCGTCGTGGATGATGCAGTGATACTGGAGCTCCTTGACCTGAGGGCGAGAGGCACAGGTGACTCTGGGGTGGGGCCTGGGTGGCACCAGGTAAGCAGCTCCACAGAGACATGGGAGTCCTGGGACAACCCCAGCCCTTCAGCTGCTCTCTCTCGGGTCCGGTGGATGACTCAGCTGGGCAGAGATGCTCCAAAGGCTCACACCACCCTGGAGGCTCAGAGCCAGGTGGGGTTGCCGTCTGGGCCAACTGGTGCAGAAGCTGTAAGTCACAGCCCCTGCCCCCATGTAACACAGAATCCTGCAAGCCACACCCTTGACTTGCAGGCAGCCCATCTCTCTTCCCAGCTCACACTCATCTCACAAACTGGCCTGCAAAGAGGAGACTGGCCTGGCATTATTATTCCCATTTTATAAATGAGGCAGCCAAGGCTCAGAAGGGTTCAGAGACTTACTCAAGGCCATGCAGGTAGTGAGTGGCTGACCAGGACCCAGAACTCATTTTTTTCTTTCTAGTACCCTTTCTACTACTCCTGAGTATCTAGGGGCTTTTTTCTGTCCAGAAGTAAAAGAAAAATTTACCATCCACATTGTGAATGTCTTTGATCGTTCAGCCCGGTATCGGAGCTCAAACTGTAACCTGTAGAAATATGAGTTCCAGGAAGGGGGGTCTTGCCAGGTGACGCTGAGCCAGCGGGGGTTTCTGTCCACGGCGGTGACCGTGACATTGACAGGTGGGTCAGGCTGCACTGTGGGAAAAGGGAGCACAGCTCCTATGCAGCAGCAAGTTTGGTGCCAAGGAGAGACCCATGAAGACTGCAAGTCCCCAGCAGGCAGGACCCCACCTCCAGCCCCAGACCACTTCCCCAGGCACACCCTGACAGGGTGCTCGCCTGCCACAATCAGACCTCTGGCAAGTATACCAAGGGCTTCCCCGGTGGCGCAGAGGTTAAGAATCCGCCTGTCAATGCAGGGGACACAGGTTCGAGCCCTGGTCCGGGAAGATCCCACATGCCACAGAGTGCCACAACTACTGAGCCTGTGTGCCACAACTACTGAAGCCTGCGCACCTAGAGCCCGTGCTCCGCAACTAGAGAAGCCACCGCAATGAGAAGCCCGCCCACCGCAAGGAAGAGTACCCGCTGCTCACCTCACAACTAGAGAAAGCTCATGTGCAGCAACGAAGACCCAACACAGCCAAAAATAAATAAATGAATAAATAAATTTATTTAAAAAAACAAAAAAGTAAAGCCCAAAAGGCACCAGCTCACCAAACCCCTCACCGTCCCCTCCAAGAAGTCCATAAGGGGCATTAAATCAAAAGAAAGGAAACAGTTGGAGGGGAGATGGAGGCCTGAAGAGCTTACTTACAGATTCCATAACCCTCAAATGTTTGGGGTCTGCTGGACTGGCTCCCAGCACTGTTGGAGACACACAGGGACACGACGTACAAAGAGTTGTCTCCCTCTGGGACTGCCAACTGGCAGGAGAACTGCTGCGACTCCGGGGAGTACTGGCACGGCTCCTGGAAGTCTTTCACCGGACTGCAGACACAAAACAAGGGCGGGGCTCGCTATCAGTTGCTGTACTTACTCAGGACAGGAGAGAAGAAAGGGCAGGGGTTAGGAGCTCAGGCTCTGCGGTCTGACCCCGGGGGTTTTTTTGTTTTGTTTTTTTGTTTTTATAAATTTATTTTTATTTATTTATCTTTGGCTGCATTGGGTCCTCGTTGCTGTGTGCGGGCTTCCCCTAATTATGGGGAGCAGGGGTTGCTCAATAGTTGTGGCACAGGGGCCTAGCTGCTCCGCGGCATGTGGGATCTTCCCGGGCCAGGGCTCGAACGCGTGTCCCCCGCATTGGCAGGCGGATTCTTAACCACTGCGCCACCAGGGAAGTCCCGTCCCTGGGGGTTTTACTCTCCACTTCACACTGAGTAGCACTGGGGATTTTGAGTAAATTATCCCACCTCTCCAAGCCTGTTTTCTCATTCGAAAATGGGAATATTAACAGTACCCACCTCGCAGGGGGTTCTTAGGATTAATTCAAAAATGAGTGTAAAACACCTAGCTTAGCATCTGGCATGGCCGTCTAAGGGGCCATCTAGAGGGCGCGCTCAATCACTGTGGCATCAGAGAGGTAGTGCATTCGGGCTCCTTGACAGGTCTTGGGCTCTTGGCACTGCAGGGGATGCAGAAAGGAATCAAGAGGCCCCACCCTGGCCTCAAGACACTAACAGAAAAGACCTGCCCTCAGAGGACTAGGACAGCCGGTAGAATGCCATCCCAGAACCTCGGAAGTGCTGGAAGGGTTTGCAAAGAGGTGGCAGCATTTCCGGCAGTGAGCCCAGAAAGGAATCCTGGGTGATGAAGATATTAGAGGTGAGTCAGACACTGTCCCACATGGCCTGGAAGCCTGAGACTTCACCAACTTGTGACATGTGTGGGCATGTGAGTCCAGGGCAGCCACTCACCCTGCCGCCTCAGTGACGAATCACCCATCAACCCCTGATTTGAGTTTGAACCCCAGTCCCAGCACAGACTTTCCTTCTGGGAAGCCTGCCCCCACCTTCCCAGTCTGAGTTAGGGCCTCCCTCCCTCCCTCCACCGTCACTCAGGCATCCATCCCACCTAACACTGAGAAGGTGGGGCCGTCTGCTTACAGGTGGGTACCCCCGTGGGGCTTGAGGGCAGGGGCCCAGTCCTGTTTGCTTTGTGCCTCTCCCTCAGCCTAGTACAGCACCCAGCCCACGGCAGACGCCGAACTCGCCAAACACTTATGGAGAGAGCAAGCATGCAAGCTCAGTGGGGCAAGGGTGTGACTGCGGGCACACACATGAGCAAAAGAGCAGAACATACAAAACCTCTTTCCAGGGGCTTGTTTCACCCCCGCAGTCCCAGGATGGGCCTGAGTGGGTTCTGGAGGCCCCAAGGCTCTCACAGTGGCTCCCCACTCCCCCTTCCTCAGTTCAGGGTAGACAGCCCAGGAGGAGGATGGACATGCCCCAGGCTGCTGGCAGGAGGAGGCTGTGAGCTTAAATGCCCTGCCCTCTCTCATTCTTACTGTCAACACACAAATTACTCTAGTCCAAGTGTCAACTGAATAAAGCCTTCCCGGGGGCGGGCTGGGCAGCTGCCGGCCACTGTACAGAACGTCCCATTTACAGAGGAATGCCTTCCTGGTGCCACAGAATTATATCCCAACTCAGCTTCGGGCTGTGGAGATTTCTGACCTTCCTCTACTTGGAGTGTGAACCATCAGTCCTAATGGTATCTGCATCATGTGCAGATGGGCAACCTATACATGTCCCTGTGCAGAGACCAAAACATAAATATCACCACCAGGTGACACTCTGGAGACAGACGCAAGTGGAAACCAAAACACCCAGATGACATCCGTCACTGCTCGGATTTTTTGATACTCTGATGATTGCCAGCTCAAACTCAGTGATAAACAAACATCTGGACCACGGGGACCTTGGCTCTGGGATGGAGACAGAGAAAACTGCAGAGATGTAACCTTCCACCTTCCATCTGTGCCTTAACTCATCCCAGGTCCCCTCACTTTGTGCCAGAGGGACCCCCAGGCAGGTGTGACTTCCTGCTCCACTGCCCCCAGCTCCCTCTCCCCACTCTATCACCACTTCCTCTCATCTGCCATTAAAATGGGAAAAGCCTGATAAGCTCACAATCAGGACGCTGATCATGAGCTGCCCTTCCCCTCCCAGGACATCTGCATCTTCTTAAGAGCAACGCCCAAAACCTGTGTATTTTGAATGAAGTCAGATAGGCTGGGGTCTGATTCCCGGCAGAGCTACTTACTAGCTAGATGACCTTAAACAAGTTAACCAGTCTCTGTGGTGCAGTTTCTCCATCTGCTAACGAGAAAAACAACCACCACCACCCCACCCCACCCCCGCTATTGTGTGGGTTAGTAGGACAAACATTGTAGCACAGTGACCAGCACAGGGTGAGCCCTGGTGGCGAAGTCTCAGCTCCCTCCCTCATTCCCTTCTCCTCTGTCCAAAGTACTTACTTACTTCCCAATAACATTTTGGAATCACTGGCCAGTCAGTCCCATTGGGCTCCTCTGAGAGCCGCCACCACTCCCAGGGCCTCAGTCAGGAAGGATGGAGAAGACAGACACACAGCCCAGCCCAAGATACTTACAACTTCCTCACCAATAACACGGCCTTCGTGGTCGGGGACGGGGGACTCCGAGGACTCCACTCACAACCCACGTTGCTGAGGGGGCTCCTCCGGAAGCAGGAGAGCTGGGGCTCCTCGGGGGGAACTGGAAGGAGCGCACAGAGGCTGAGGAGGCAGCACACCTCACCGCCCGTCCTCGTCCTCGGGAGCCCTTGACTCAGCGCCCTCCCCCGACCCTGGCACGAGCCCGTACCACAGCCAAACAGCCACGCACATATCTAACTGTGCTCGGGAAATCAAAGGATGCCAAAGTCCTCATGTCAGGCTAGGAGGTGGGGCAAGTGAGGGGAGGTGCCTGGGGGCCAACTTGCCTAAAGGGGAGCAAGACTGGCACCAAAAGTTGGGGCTATGGGGCTTCCCTGGTGGTGCAGTGGTTGAGAGTCCGCCTGCCGATGCAGGGGAAATGGGTTCGTGCCCTGGTCCGGGAGGATCCCACATGCCGCGGAGCGGCTGGGCCCGCGCGCCATGGCCGCTGAGCCTGCGCGTCCGGAGCCTGTGCTCCGCAATGGGAGAGGCCACAACAGTGAGAGGCCCGCGTACCACAAAAAAAAAAAAAAATTAAGTGATGATAAAATAGTCACCATAATACTGCTGCCTCTCACTGGGGCATTGGGAATATGGTATGAGACACCAAGGAAGAAAGTCCCTCAGCACAGAGTCTGGCACACAGGGCATCTGACTATAGGATGTCTTATGAGATGCAAGGGAGTTAGGAACCTACTAACTCTAACAATAAGAATAGTTCATTTGAGAGCTTACTATGTGCTATGCAGAGTTTTTAACACCATATTTAATCTTTACAACAACCCTGAAGTAAGTTAATAACATCAACCTTATTTTACTAACAAGGGAACTGAAGGGCAGAGAAGTTAAGCCGTGAAGGAGGAGGATTCGAACCCAGGCCCCTTGCCCTCGACCCCCAAGCCCTAACCACACAGCAAGGCCAGCTGGACGGCGTCTCCGTCAGCCAGATGCCCCCACCCAGCTGGAAGCTCTACCAATCTCGCTGGCAAACGTCACTGGGCCTTTCCCCGAAATGCTTGGGCCAGGGAAATAACAGGAATTTAAAGGGTCAAGCAGGGAATCTCTCTCTGGAATGCGCAGAGCAGTGCTGGGAGCCATCTCTGGGAGCTCTGAGGACACAACTCACCATCCACCAGCAAACGCACACTTCCAGCTGGGCGGCCGTCCTCGTAGCACGAATAGTTTCCAGAGTCGTTGAGCAGCACAGACCTCAGAAGCAGCCTCCTTCCCACGCCAGCCCATCTGCCTTGGCGTGAACCTGTGACCTGATTCCTGAGCACCCAGTGAACGGTGGCATTGTCCCCCGCTTCCCCACCTGGGCAAGTCAGGGTAATGCTGGCTCCTGGCAGGCTGGTCAGCACATCATTTGCCACCTCTGCAGGGGGAGAAGACACTGGATAAGCCCACAGCAACCTGACAAAAGGACTTCATCCAATTCAGGAAGCCACAAAAGGCTCTAGTGCTAAACATCTCTCAAGTCCATCCACTGGCCCAGGCCACCATCACATCATCTCTTCCTCGGTTATGGCATTGGCCTCCCTGTGGCCTCCCAGCCCCAGTCTTGGCCCTCTCCACCCAGCTGCCCCAGGGAGCCTTCCAAAGTGGCTCTCTGGCTACCCCACTCCTTTGAATAGAAACCCCTTCAAGGGCCTACCGCTGTCCACAGCATAAAGTCCAAGTTTAGAGGCCTGGCCCACAGGGCTTTCCACCACCTGCCCCCTGCTGACCTCTGAGGCCTCATCTCTCCCCGCTCGGCCTTAGGGGAGACACAGTCCCCCCACCCCATCCCCACACAACTTCCTCCTGATGCAGGTCTCAGCCTAAATGTCCCTTCCCCAGAGGCCTTCCCTATCTCCTCAGCTGCATTAGGCCCCCATTCTACCTCCCCCACCATGTCACCCATCACACACTGCCGTATAATTACCAATTCCATATCCATCTTCACTTCAGGACCCCAAGTGCCACAAGAATAGGCATCCTGTTTTGTTCTCTGTCATATTTCAGTGCCTAGATCATTGCCTGGCACACGGCGGTGGCCCACTGAGCACTTGATGAATGTATAAATGAATGTATACACACAGGAATGAATGCCAGGTACCCAGTGGGACTCAAAAGATGCATGAGTACACAGGAAGTCTCAGAATCCCAGGGTCTCCATTTTACAGGTAATAACTGAGGCACAGAGGAATCAGGAGACTTGCCCCTGATCACCAATAACTTAGCTACACAGCTGAGAGGCAAACCAGGTCTTCCAACTCTGTTCAGTGCTCCCTCCAGAACCCTATACCTATCTATTAAACCACTTAGGGTAATGCTATGTTTATTCTAGGGACCAAATTGGAAAGTAAAAGAGAACAAATGCAGTCCCCATCCCTGAAAAATATTATGCTACTCAAGGAAAGGATATTAAAGATACAAGTAAACTTTTTTTTAGTATAGGTTAAACAGATTCATAGAATCTAAGATTTTGTTTTTTTAATAAATTTATTTATTTATTTTTGGCTGCGTTGGGTCTTCGTTGCTGCACCCGGGCTTTCTCTAGTTGCGGCGAGCGGGAGCTAACTCTTCATTGCGTTGCGCGGGCTCCTCATTGCGATGGCTTCTCTTGTTGCGGGGCACGAGCTCTAGGCGCGCGGGCTTCAGTAGTTGTGGCTCGCGGGCTCTAGAGCACAGGCTCAATAGCTGTGGTGCACGGGCTTAGTTGCTCCGCAGCATGTGGGATCTTCCCGGGCCAGGGCTAGAACCCGTGCCTCCTGCATTGGCAGGGGGATTCTTAACCACTATGCCACCAGGGAAGTCCCATACCAGGTGGTTTTGATTTGGCTTACTGTGCCCTTGTGGAAGGTTCTTCAGCACAGGCTTCGGACGTGCAGGCTCAGCGGCCATGGCTCACGGGCCCAGCCGCTCCGCAGCATGTGGGATCTTCCCGGACCGGGGCACGAACCCATGTCCCCTGCATCGGCAGATGGATTCTTAACCACTGGGCCACCAGGGAAGCCCAGAATCTAAGATTTAAATCAGTCTAGCCAGCTGAGGAAACTGAAGGCAGGGAAAACAGCAAGTTTTCATGTTAAGCACACTTGGTCCTTCTAACCAAATGTGCAGCCATTTATTAGCAAACAGCAGCAATAAGTCTGGTAAAAGATTTCCGAAAGGCCCAGCAACAGCCTGGGCACCTGACCTCACCTCCCACCTGTGCTCCTGGGCTGCGAGGACCAGCACTAGTGTCCCCCCGACCTGCAAAGCCTTCTTGCTTGGGAGGAGTTTTTAATCTCACGCTTAACTGACTGCCCCTCCTCCCGCCAAGGTAGCTGTTGGAGAGGACAGAATAAGGCTCAGTGACCCCCAGGAGGATAACACTCAAAGCCAGCGAGGCTGGTTGTCCAGATCAACCGCCGGCCACAGTCCAGAGATAAGGGACATGAGCATCAAAGGGACAGCGACAGCTTCTGTCTGGCTACACAGACTCCCTTCAATCTTCCTTCTCACCTTATCACTTGGAGTCAGAGTCCTCCACCCTGGAAACCTCTGCCCTGAGGTTGGCAGGTAAGGGACAGGTGCAAGGGCAGCATAGCAGCCGGTCACCTAGGGTTTCTTTCTCTTCACTATCAGAGCCTTCGACTTTGGGTGAGAAAAATGGCTGAGTCTCACCATGCAGCGAAGTGAGTGTGGCCAGGTTCCTTAGACCCCTCTTCCTCACTTTCCCCCACTATGGGCCAAGATGCATGCGTACATGCATCTTGAGGAGGTCCCCAGAGCCAGGCACCAGTGAAGAGGACAGAGTTAGGTGGCAGAGAGACCCTGCCCTCAAGGACACGACATGTAAGATGCATTCACTGCTGCAGAACTGGGACAGAGGACACAGGGCGCCCCTGAACATCAGCAAAATCCCAGTCCCTAGGAGACCAAGTCCACTGAGGGTACCTCCACGCCCAGAGGGCTTAAAAGAGGTATGAAAAGCCCTAACTACAGGATACCATTCATACATAATCTTCAGTAATACATTTCCAGCATTTCAAGTATCATTTTTAAATGTACTATATGATATTGAACACATGCAAATTAATATATGTAATGTACATGAAAGCTATGAAGCATGAAACACCCCCGAACTCCTACCAACCAAACCACTAGCACAATCATTGTCTCTGAAGCTCCCTCTGTGTTCTGCATCCCCTAGCCTCCCTGCTTATACAGTGTTACATTTTGGACTTATCGCTCCCTCGCTTTTTTTTTTTTAATAGATCTTTATTGGAGTATAATTGCTTCACAACACTGTGTTAGTTTCTGTTGTAAATGGGGTCAGTTTCGCTACTCATGGATTCCTAAATTTTTCTTAACTTTGTGTGATATTTGAGAATTATGTAAATAGATTACAGTCTTCTGTGACATGTTTTTGTCATTCACTGTTTCCATGATTCATGTAGCTGTAGTTATTCATTTTCACTGCTGTGTAATATCCCATTGGACAACTATATCATTCTCTTGCTGACGGAGGTTTTGGGTCGTTTCCAGTGTTTTGCTATATCAAAGAGTGTGCTATTAACTTTCTCGAAGGTGGCTCTTGGCACATTTGCCCAAGAATTTCCCTGAGTAGAATTGCTGGTCCTGGTGTGTGTGCATGTCACACATGTCCTTTTCCTTCATAATTGACACACAGTCCAAACCTTTTAAGTCTTATGTGCACCTGACAGTGGCTATGGCTTGCCATGTCCAGTCCACATACTGAATTACATCTGTGCCTGAATCAGGTTAGGTCTAGAAGACACACCGACACTTTGAATCAGTATATGGATACTTTCACTTTTCCATTTTCCACTTAATAAAGCAGCTATAAGTACAAAACCTAACATGGATGTCAAGTTCATGCACAAATTACCAACACTGTAGGAACAAAGACAGAGACACCGTTGGGAATTCCCTGGTGGTCCAGTAGTTAGGACCCCGAGCTTCCAGTGCAGGGAGCACGGGTTCGATCCCTGGTCAGTGAACTAAGATCCCGCAAGCCGCATGGCGAGGCCAAAAACAAAAGATGGAGACGCTGTCAGAGTCGGACAGTCTTCTGGTGAGTGGCCCCGCTGTGCAGTGCTTACAACATCCCTCCATCAGCTGACAAGCGGAAGTCGGAATTCACAAGGCACCAATACACAATAGATTCTCAGGGTTGCCTGAAAGTCCAAGTAGGGGTCAAGGACCATGGCAGGCTCATCCTTTCCTTGGCACTTTCCACATGGCACCATCCTTAACTATATGTAGGTCCCCCTCACCAGTCATGACTATGAGGCTGTGAACTCCTAGTAGCACTCCTCAGAGAACTCAGTAGGTGCTTAATTAATGTTTAACGTAGGGTGCCTAAGAGGTACCCACAAGGTCAGGGCCTCCACAGTGCACACTCCCAGGAGCCCCTGTCACACAGGACACAGCGGTCTACATGGTGCCCCTCGTGTGGTGCAGTGGGCAAGCCCTACACTAGAGACCAGAAGAGCCAGCTTGTCACAGCCAGGAGATGCTGAGGAAAGAAACTATAAGCCTGGAGCCAGAAGGGACTCTCTTTTCTGCTTCTGCCTTTGCCAGTTCCAGGAAATATGTTTCTCTGGTCACTTCCCTAACCCCCAGTTCAGATGGAAGCTCTTGCCATGGCTAGTGACCAGCTTGAACAATAGCAGGGGCTGTTCTGTTCCTGAATTCACTGACAATGGCCAGAGTATTTGGGCAGCTCAGAGAAATCACAAATAAAAAGACTTTTTTTCTCTTCTACTAAAGCAGAGCTTCAGGAGCAACATAATGGCCACTTCCTCTGCCAAAGAACTTGAGTAATGGTTTTCTGAATCTTTAAAACTGAGTCACTGTTTTTTTTTTAATGGGGAATGATTAATTATAAAACACCCATTGGCAAGTATTGCCTGTCCCTTCTTCAAAATACATTTCTTCTAGAACCTGTGAACAATGCTGTGTTAACTATGCTTTTAAAGGCATTCTATGCAGGATGATCACAGTCAAACACTCAGAGAGGAAAGACCACAAGAAAATACCCTTGCTACAGTCAGAGTGGGCAGTGTTGCCCCTACCCAGCCGCCCATCCCTCTGCCTCCTGACCCGAATCTCTGAGTCAGTGCCCGTGACACCCATGGGGCTGCGTAGGACGCCCTGGGCATCTCTCTCTCTCTCTTTTTTTTTTTTTGGCTGCACCTCGTGGCTTGCGGGATCTCAGTTCCCTAACCGGGGACTGAACCTGGGCCAAGGCAGTGAAAGCCGGGCATCCTAACCACTAGGCAACCAGGGAACCCCCGCCCGAGCAACTCTTTGAAAAGGAAGAGGTGATGTTCACAGAATGCCCTCCTGGTACTTCCACCCACCTCTCCAAATGATGGGACT